CTATTCTATTCTATTCTATTCTATTCTATTCTATTCTATTCTATTCTTTATTCCACTATTCTATTCTATTCTTTATTCCACTATTCCATTCTACTCTACTCTACTCTACTCTACTCTACTCTACTCTACTCTACTCCACTCTGTTCCATATTTTTTATTCCATTCCATTCCAATTTCTATTCTATTCCAATTTCTATTCTTTTCTAAAAGGCCCTGGCGGAGTGCACATCCGGGATGGATCCGGATACCTGGAACGCTTATCACATCGTCAGCAACCGAGCCCGGGCCGTCTGCTACGCCACCCGCCAGATGCAGTTCAAGCGCCGGGCGGAGCATACAGTGAACACCCTGGTCTCCACCGCAGTCGGCCAGCTGGAGGCGATGAAAACGCTCAAGGTTCGGATTGGACCAACTGTTGTGTTCCTCAGTTTTAGTCTGGAGATTGGTATGTGTGTGTGTGCGTGTGCTGGGGTGAATGTCGAAACTGGCGGCGTTCAATTTCACAACTTAAGGTGCTTTTTTTTTTTTCAACTGGACTTTCTTGTTTTTCTTTTTGAAGACGTTTCACTTCTCATCCGAGAAGCTTCTTCAGCTCTAACTGGATGACAGGGAATGGAAGGATTTGTACTCCTTGCAGACAAAGCTGATCATTTGCGTTCTTTTAGAGAGCCGTTGAGGCCGCCTGGAGGTTTATCTGGGTCCTCAGGATCACCTGAGTAATGCAAATGGTTCCTGTGGTCTGCAATTACTAAAGAACTAGGAACACTACGCAGCTGACCCTGAGAGGACACAGATAAACCTCCAAGTGGCCTCAATGACCCTCTAAAAGGATGCAAATGACCAGCTGCCTACAAGGAGTATAAATCCCTCCATTCCCCACCATCCAATCAGAGCTGAAGAAGCTTCTCAGATGAGAAGCGAAACGTCTTCAAAGAAAAAAAACTCAGAAAGTCCAGTTGCCTCCTGAAAAAAGCACTTTTGGGACAACCATGACCTGGATAACCGAGAATCTCTATAGACTTTTATTCCAAGCTAACGTTGAGTTTTCTGGGCAGCCTTTACCAGCCCAGGTTCGAGACCCGAGCTCCACGCGACCGGGCGAGCTCCCATTTGTTGCCTCAGCTCCTGCCCATCTAGCAGTTCGAAAAGCATGCGAATGCAAGTAGATAAATAGGTACCACTTCGGTGGGAAGAGAACAGTGTTCCTGTCCACATGATTGGTGCAAATCGTATGTTGTAGACTGGAGATAGATGATGTCGTATCCCGCCCCATCTGTTGAGGGAAGGCCGTTCAATGTGGACACAGATGGCCTCTTGGATCCCTCTTTCAAACCAGCAGTCCTCTCTGTCCAAAAGGTGGACTTTGCTGTCTTCCAAAGAGTGGCCTTTGTCTTTGAAATGCAGATGGAAGTGCTGAATCTTGTTGTCTGCCCTTGTTGGAGTCCGATTCTGAGGGGGAGATTGAGCAGCTGACAGGGAGTGGGAGTGTGGCTCCGGTGGCTGTGGAGGAAACAGGGGAAGGGCACAGTCCGGCTGGGCATTCAGAGGAAGACCCAGGCCCACCCCCTCTTCATCCTAAGGCACGCAGGGAGGAACGGAGAAGGGAGCAACATGGCTTACGGGAGAGAAAAGGGCCCTGATCCCTTTCATTAGTTGCAGCTGGGAGAACAGGATATAAAAGGGGCATTTGCACACGACTCCTTGCTGGAAGCAAAGTGTGCATTATCTAGGTCGAGGCTTATCTGAGTTTTGGCGTCCTCCCAACTGTGGTTGCTGCGTTATCTTGTGGAAGTCTGCAATTTATCATCCTGGCCTGCCAGGTTAATGACTTCAGCATGGTTGGTTTTTTTATTTATTTCTAATTATCTTTATTTTGGGTTCGGACTGCATTTACTCCATTTGTAGACTGTTTTTGGAAGAGTTTGATCTCCAGCCAAGGATAATTGGACATTGACACCCAAGTTGGAGGCATTAAAGGGAATTTATTCTACTTTTGTGACTTTTTTTATTTTTGTGTCATGCCCTGGGTCATTACCCTTGTCCTGGTGGGTTTGTTCTATGTTACACCATGCGATTGTGAGGTGGCTGTTTTGTTTCCCCAATGTACAGATCTGCGCATAGCTCGCTGCACTGTACTGCTCATACCACATTGCTCAGTTTGTGTCTGGGTGTTTTATCCCTGGGGTGGACAAGCTGCTGGCTTAGTGTATTCTTGGGTTTGAAATTTGCACGTGTGTTGTGTCAGCTGAAGATCCTCCTGAGCTTTTCCGGTATTCCAGCGACTTATGGAATGACAAGAAAGTCCAGTTGCCTCTTGAAAAAAAAAACAGCACCTTTGGGACAACCATAACTGAGAATCTCCACAGTCAATTTCACAACGATTTCAAAATATATACAGGTAGTCCTCGACTTACGACCACAATTGAGCCCACAATTTCTGCCGTTAAGTGGGACATTTCTTAAGTGAGTTTTATTGCTTTTTGTCATGTCACTGCAGTGGATAAGTTAGCAACCCGGTTGTTAGGTGAATCTGGCTTCCTCGCTGACTTCGCTGGTCAGAAGGTCGCAAAAGGGGATCACGTGACCCCTGGAATACTGCAATCGCCATAAATATGAGTCAGTCCCCAAGCGTCGGTTGCCAAGCATCTAAATTTTGGTCACGTGACCATGGGGATGCTGCCAATGTCGTAATTGTGAAACAACAACAACCACGTACAATTCCCTGTTGGAATCTGATTCGGAGGGGGAGGCCGAGCAGCTGACAGGGAGTGTGGCTCCGTTGGCTGTGGAAGAAATTGGGGAAGGGCAAAGTCCAGCTGGGCAGAACAGGAGAGAGGTAGAACAAGGAAGAGGGAGTTCAGAGGAAGACCCAGGCCCACCCCTTCTTCACCCTAGGGCACGCAGGGAGGAAGGGAGAAGGGAGCAATGTGAGTTCCATGGCTTACAGGGGAGGAAAGGGCCCTGATTCCCTTCATTAGCTGCAGCTGGGAACTCAGTGTTTAAAAAGGGAAGCTGAGTGCAGCAAAGTTGCTGGAAGCAAACCGTGAGTTGTCTTTTTTTGTCGAGGCTTATCTGGGTTCCTGGCGTCTTCCCAACTGTGCGTGTTTTGCTGTCCTTTCATGTCTGCAGTTCCTTCTCCTGTCCCGTCCAGTTAATTGCTGCAGCGTGGTTTGTGTGGATTTTTAGTTACAGTTTATATGTACTTCGTTTTCGGACTGAATTTCCTCCACTTAAAGGCTGTTCTTGGGAGAGTTTTTTTCCCCAGCCGAAGGTAACTGGACATTGGGGGCAAAGTTGGAGGTATTAAAGGGACTTTTCTAACTTATGTGACTGCGTTGCCTTTGTGCCACGACCTGGGTCGTTACAGACGCTAAGGAGTTCTACTCCCCCTCCCCACCTGAAAAGAAATATCTTCCCAATGCAAAACACAAGCAGAGGAGTTCCAGTTTCCCAGCCCCAAGTAGCTTTAGTCCAGAACAGTTGAGCTAAGCCACTCCCAGGCTCCTTGCTGTCTCCTTGCTCACACAGCAAATACTCTTTCAGTTTCCAAACAGCCCTCAACTCTCTCACACACTGACAGGACGCTAGCCAGATGAATACCTATGGATGCTGGTAGGCAGAGGCGGAATTCCCCCCCCACACACACACACTAAAACTAAGCCCGACCACATAGTTTCGTAGCGAAGCACGGGTCCCGAGCTAGCGCTGAATAAAATTAAATTGTGTACGACGAAAAGGAAGTTCGAACTTGTCTCGTGAGCCTTTTTTTTGGTGTGTTTTTTCAGTTTTGTTCCTATGTTGTTGTATTTTTTTTTCCCCTCCCACGACAGAGGAGCCAGGAGGAGCTGAAGCTGCTCACCTCGGAGTCCCTGCAACGCGTCGTTAGCGCCCAGGAGGAGCTGCTCACCCGGCAAGAGACGCTGCGAGACGGCCAGGCGCAGATGGAGGACTCCCTGTCCAGCAACCTGGAGCACCTGGTGCAGGAGAAGGCCCTGATTGCCAGCGGGCAGCAGCAGGTGGCCGATCTGCTGGAGGGCATCACGCGCAGGATGGGTGAGAGAGCGAGCAGCGAGGATTTCCTCCCACCCATCCCCGGGCACCTCCGGCCTTCCTCCGGGGGAGTCCTCAGCTTACGACCACGATTCGGCCTCAGGACGTCCATTGGCTAAGCCAGCGGTCGCCAACCGGTGGTCCCGCGGGAAAACTTTGCAGAGAAATTATTTGCCTTTTTCTTTATATTGCCTTTTTATTTGCATTGATTCTTTATTTGCAATTTTTCTTTATATTTAGGGTCCCCTGGGCCGGAATCATGCAACGAACGTTTGTGTGGCTGCAGAGAGTTTTCCCTCTTTTTGGGGGGGAAGGGGGGGTTATGCAGGGTGAATTGGGGGCAGAACTTCCAGAACTTTGGGTCTGCTTCAATCTCTCGGGGCAGGGCTTTGGGAGAAGGCTGGAGGGAAGGGATGCTGGTGGTGAAGAGTTCAGAGGGTGGTATATATATACTGGTGGTTCAGAGGTGGCATATTCAGACGGTTCTGACCGGTTCTGGAGAACCGGTAGCTGGAATTTCGAGTAGTTCAGAGAACCGGCCAATGCCACCTCTGACTGGCCCCGCCAACCCCATCTCTTCTCCGCCTCCCATTGAATCCCAGCGGATCGGCTGGGTCTGTGTTGGCGAACCTATGGCAGGCGTGCCGGAAGTGGCACGCCGAACCATTTTCCCCAGCAGGCGGGAGGTTGCCCAGAAGAGCCCTACTGCACAACGCATGCGCACACATGCTTTCTGGGCTTGGTTGTTTTCTTGCAGACCTTCCATGACCCAACTCAGGAACTTCATCAGTGCTTAGAAGAGACAGGGGTTTGGAGAGAGCAGGAGGAAGAGGAGGAGGAGGAGGGCTGTAGGATCCTTGGTGCTTTCTGAGCTTGGTTGTTTTCTTGCAGATGTTTGAGGGTTTCAGTCAGGTAGCATTATTAGCGTTAGAAGCATGGGCAATTTGCACTTTCTAGCACTGATGATGTTACCTAGTTGGGTCATGAAAGGTCTCTAACAAAACAGCCAAGCTCGGGGAGCATTATGGACCCCACAGTCGTCCTCCTCTTCCTCCCTTCTTTTCCCCCCTTTTCCTCCACTCCACAAATCCCACTTCCTGCTAGCACTGATGATGTTACCTAGTTGGGTCATGAAACATCTGCAAAAACAACCACAACCAAGCTCGGAGATTACCTCCATGGTCTTCCTCCTCCTCTCCAGAAACCCCCTCCCTTCTAGCACCAATATTACCTGGTCAGGTAATGAAAGATCTACAAAACAACCCAGCTCGGAGAACCCTGAGCTAGCAACATTTTTCTATTGGGCAACCCTGGAATTGGAATCCAGGGAAGAAAAGTTGTTTGTAGGATGAAAGGGGACCAAGGAGATAAGTTAGGTGTCTTCAAACACTGGTTGGAGAAGCTTTTCAGGATGACCCAAGAGCAATGACTCTCAACTTACCTTGGGCCAACTGGACCTTGTGTGTTCTGTAGCCCAAATGTGTTGCCACCAACCGTTGGAACAACCCTGCCTCTGTTTCTCTTCTCGCAGAAAATGTCAGCAGTCATCTGAACCAGCAGGATGTGGAGCTTCAAGAAGGGCACCAGTCCATCCTGAGGGACCTGGGTCAAGTCCAAAAACGGGCTCAAGACGTCTACTCCAAAATAGGTTTGTGGTAGGAGCAGTTCAAAATCCATTCCTCTCAAGCTTAGCACTGACGATGCGACCTAGTTTGGTAATGAAACGTCTGCAAGGAAACCACCAAGCTCAGAGCAGCAAGGCCCTACAGTACTTTTCCTCCTCCTCCTCCTCCTCCTCCTCCTCCTCCTCCTCCT